TAAAAAATGTACAATATACAAAAACATAGATTTGATAAAAGTATACAAGAAAGAATCTTCAAAGTTTATACATAAAAAAAATCTTAAATAATTAAAAAATCCCGCTTGCATAATGCTTGTTATTGTAGTATCAAGGATCCCGCATACAATGTCAGTTTGTAATGAGACATATTTTTATACTATATACCACATTCCGCAAAAAAGAAAAAGTTAAGCCGTTTGGAAAATAATAATAAAAGGGACTATTAAAGAATAATCCAAATAAAAACATTATTTACCATGTGTACGCTTTTCGTTTCTGGTTTCCTTTCCGATAGAAGGAATCCACCGATATGCCTTCTCCAAAGCTTCCTCAGAAAAACCTTGAAGATTTTGCCCAAATCTAATCCAAACTTCAGGAAAGTAGCTTATCTTTCGAAGAGTACCCTTAGATTTCGCATATTCGACCAAAACGTCTAAAATTTCGTCATTAATCATACTGTTTCTGAATAAACCAATAGTTTCAAGCTTTGCTTCACAATTTCCAAGAAACAGTCGTAATCCTTTAGAAGACATTGAGAAATGTATACCAAGTACTCGCACACAACTAGGTATACTTTCTGCTATAGTCTTTATGGTAGTTAAATCAATCGGATTTACGTAAGTAGCGTCGTCGTGAATATCGCCTAAATCCAACTCCACAAGGTTTTTTAATCCAGTTAACAGTTTTCTAAATAACTGTAATTTTGAGCCTGGCCCTTTAATGTATAACTTTGTTAGATTTGGGCAATAAGTACTAATTATATCCAAAAGATCGGTGGTAACACCACCTAACATTAAATTTCGTAAGTTTTTGTTAACTATCTGAATAATTATTCCTAAAGTATCGGCTTTTGTCGCATTAAATGGATGAATGCTTGAAAGATCAGCTCGGCAACTCAGGTGCTTGATGGAGAAACGATTAGGAGGAATGACGTAATCAGCCAAAGAATACTTTTTTAAATCATAAAATCCATCAAATTCCAAAGTGTCTAATTTCGTGCAAGCAGACAATAGTTGCATAAATGCTTCTGGAATTAGCAATCCGGTATAAGATAATTTTGATAAATTCTGAGATTGACTATGAATTGATGAATATATCAGAAGCAATTTTGAAGGATCCCAATTATTTTCGATTTCAATAGATTTTAATGTTTTTTGAGCTTTGATTAATTTTGATAATGACTGGACAATAGTCGGGTAAACATTAGGAGGAACAGGATCATCCAGATAACCAATCTTAATAGTAATATGTTGTAGGTTGTGGGCATATTGAGACATCATGGAGACAAGTTTTGAAACACCAGTTTCAGAAGAAGTACAACGCACATGATAATCCAAAATGAAAATTTTAATTTTAGATAATGCATCTCGTGCGCCTGGAAACTGGGAGATGTCGAAAAAGATTTTTTCATCTTCATAATCAGGATTAATGCACAAAATATCTAGGCCCCCAGAGTGACGAAAAAGCATGTTACTTAAAACTTGATTGATAATTTGTATTTTGTTTACAGAATCATAATAACGAGGATTCATTACGTAAATCCAATCTTTGATGGTTCTTTCAACCATATAAGAATCAAATTCCTGAATATGTTTTGCATAATTAAACGAAGACTTATAAATAGCACGTAGATGAATTCCGGAATCGATCAATCGACCAATCTCATTATCAGAAAGAAAAGATAAGTAAACTTGAATTAGGCTTGCGCCGGCAAGTCGAGACTTTGAAACGGTATGATGAAAAGGTCGACGCCATAATAAAGGAATAACGAGTTGACAGACAGAGAAATTGACAAAAAGACAAGTATAAAGAGTTGATATGTCGTCCTTTAGGAATTCCAAGATAGCTTTGAAACAATGAGATGGAATTCGTGATTTAACATCATGAGAAAGATTTTTGAAGTTGAGATGTGAAATTTCCCGAGATTCACTAAGCCTACGAGTAAATGGAGGAGATCTTAATAGAGGTGTATCAGATCGTGACAAATCATATTGAGCTTCTAGCTCAGCTTGTTCGGCAATATCGTCAAGAACGATTCTTTGTAAAGAATTTTGCAAGGTACATGGAATATCATCTTCATCTTCATGAATCGTCTGAATTTCCGACTTATAGTACGGAGACGTATCTTCACTTGGAGTATCTGGCGGGGTAATATAAGGATGAGAATTAAATTTTGTATGAACATCTTTAAATGTTTCATGTAATGTATCGGTATCATCGCCTGCAATTATTTGCTGATAATTTTCTTGACAGTTGATATTTTTTTGAATATCTTGAAGCTTGTCTGGAGGGGTATTATTTTGATTAGTAATCCGAGAGACACTTCTCAATGTATTTTCAGGAATATTTTGGAGAGAAGTAGAATCTCGTTGTACACTCTGGGGAATATTTTGTCGCGTCATGATGTCTCGAACGATGGTACTAAATTGCAAATGAAATAAAAAGGATGATGATCAAATATTTACAAAATTTATATACAGTAATCTGTGAAAAAAAGATGTGAGAAAAGAAATATGCACTAGTTACGCACAAATTTTATCAGTCTATATTTATATATTTTTCTGTTTCTCCGAATATCTGAATGCAGGAATAAACAACAATAGGTAACGAATTCAACTGCACCGTGGGTATAAATTTAGTTAATCGGCGTTATCTTAAATTCACAATGATGTGATGATCAAAAAAAAAAAACATTTGACCGCAGCACGATTATAAAGTTCATTTTTTGGATCAATCAAATCTTTTCTGTTATCAAAATTATGATAAAAGACCAAACCATTTTATGCATTTTATGATATTAAGTCTTGATTTATTAAGTGATGATGTTTATAAATATATTACAAAAATAAGAACTAGAACTAAAAAGCAAATTATACAACAAATTGAGTATTCCGAAGCATAGATTTTATATAGATCTTCACGTCGATGAATGATGCGTGCGTGCACCTCCGACGGTTGCGCGTATTTGTAAAATTCTAAGACACCACCCACCACTCAAAATAATAAGGGAGGGCGGCGTCGGCTTGAGCGAAGCCAAGACAACCACCCATTAACCTCAAAAAATTATGTGCGCAAAATCTCTTGATGACGATTCTGCATGAACAGTAAAGTTCATGTAGCATTTGATATCCCTTGTAAGTAAAGAAATATCGCCACACACCCTTTTAAGGAAAAACTTTTAATTAGGTGATATTTGAATTCTTATATTAAAAACAATAAAATTATGGGATTTTATAACATTGATCGGAATTAATGCTTTTATATCTCCGAATTATATACCGGTATGCATGTGTGTGCATAATCTGAGTGTTAGTATCGGTATGTTTTCAAATCTTTGTGTAGGACGCGTGTTGCATCACCTCGGCACTCATAAAAAACCGGCGATTGGTTCATTATTGAATCGGGTTATAATTATTAGCACGTTTTGGTCATACGATGGTCAAAATGTTTAAAGAAAACATCTCTTTTCGACTACTGTATATATATGATTGTTAACTAAGCATGTTACACGAATTCGGTCATAAATTTATTTATTTACTACATACAGTCAAACCTACACATGTGTTGCAAGTGGGGACGGAATTTAGAATTTTAGGATTATAGGGTTAGGATATATAGAATAAATTCTACCCCAAAATAACCAAAATTATAATTTTTATTAAGAAATTCCAAACCCACTTAAATTCCGTGCCATTTACAACATCTGTATCCCGACCATGAATTCACATTTATAGAGATATGTATTCAGTGTGTAATTTATAAATGTTATTAGTAGTTTGGTTATAGAGCGTGCATATATGAAGGTTTGACTATGTATATCGAAGGCGGCTGTTTCGAAAATATTAAGCACCGATTTTTAGCGTTAGGTGGAAATAAAGCCGCAAGCCGTAATTTATGCTGCAATCTGAAGCAAAAACCAAAATCTAAAATGCGCCCATAATCTAATTTAACTAC